AGGAGCCTTTCTCCCCTCGACATGAAGTCATCAGTTACTGATATAGATTAGTCTGCTGGCCTAGGAGAAATTGCTAATGACAGTTGTAAATGTTGAAAATACTAAATATAAACTAAATCCATATTAGTCTACAGTGAGAAGCTATCCATGACCGTACAAGATTAGAATAATCAAGAAAAGTGTGTACTTAGGGCTTGATAAAAGCGTTCTTTCAAATAAGGAAAAAGTATAATCTGTAGTTACTTACTCAACACGCATTTGTTAAGCCATCAGTATTTGTTCATGAACCAATGTTTCTCAAACTTCTTACACGGGCCTGACTGTGCTCTAGGCACTAAGAACAGAGCAGGGAATGCAGAAGTCGAGGTCCCTCTTTTATTATATTTTATTGAAAGGAGCTGTAAAATAAATCAATCATCCAAAACAATACATATAAATTCAATAACAAACAAAACAGTAAAATGCATTCGGATAGTGATAGTTGCCATTAGTACAATAAAACAGGGGACTGTGATAGAGAATGACTGAAGACTTCATTTGGACCAGTCATGCAAGGCCTCCCTGAGGGTAACTGAGTGCAAGTCCAGCTGTCTGCCACTACCTAGCCAGTATTCAAGAGGCAGGTGCTGATGTAAAGGAAAGTGGTTTATTTGCAGATGCCGGCCATGTGGAAGGTGGGGGACGCATGTCTCAAAGCCCATCTCCACCCCTCATTGGAGGCAAAGGTTTTTTATAAAGAGGGGGAGGGGAACAGAACAAAGAGATGGAGAGAGGGGGTTGAAACGTTCTCTCCGGGCAGACCATTCTGATAAGGCAAGTGATGGTCCGGTGTGCATCATCCTTGTTTCTTCCTCCTGGTCACAGCCTCTCAGCTTCACATCATCCTGGCTCCACAGCTGAAGGTCAGCAAATCTCCTGAAGCTGGAATGATTGAAGGTCGGAGCCTGTATCTTTTGGAGTTAGTTCCTGGGATTCTTAATACAAACATGCTGTTCATCTACGGCCTACACATAAGAGTCCGCACTTACAGAAATGTCACAAGAATGGTGGGGTGGGTTAAATTTCCTACTGTTACAATTTTCCACTGTTACATGAGGAGGTAATATTTGAGAGGGAAAAAAATCCCCACAGAAAAATGAAAAGAAATCAGCTGTGACTAGAGCAGAGCTAACCTAGCAGAGGAAATAACAAGTGCACAGGCAGTGAAGCAGGAACCAGCTCGGTCTGTTTCAGGAATAAAACGCAATCCAGGGCAGCAAGTACAGAGTCAGAGACGTAGGAGAGGGCAAGGTCACATGGCCTTCAGAGGTCATGGGGAGGAGTTCAGATTTAGATTTCATCCCAAATGGAGTGGGGGAGGAGAGGGTGTGGTCAAGCAGCAGTAAGGTTTTCAGCAAAGGAAGTCAGAGATGATATTATGTCCTGATTTTTGCTTGTAGAGATTACACTGGCTGTAGGTGAAGAATGGACTGCAAAGCGCCAAGAGCGGAGGCAGACCAATCAGGAAGCCATCAATATATGGGAGCAAGAAGCAGCGCTTCCTAAGCCAGAGGGTAGTGGAGAGGCAGGGACTGGGACAGAACATCAGGACTTGCCGGCAATGATAGCGGGAAGCAAAAGGAATCAAGAGCAACCATTCGACATTTGGTCTGAGCCACCAGGAGCCCTGTAGTCACTGTACTAAGCTCAGGGGATACAAAAAGACAGCAAGACACTGTACTTGCCTTGTGGAGTAATCTGTGAGTACTTAGTAAATACTATTTAGGTAATGGGCTAATAATTTAGAAAAATTGTTAGATTTAAATATCCCATTTTTAACAACATGAAGTCCAGACAGGTTGAAATGGGCTAAATTTAACAAATAAATAGCAGCTAAAAAAATTAGAAGGAAAAGGAAAATACATACTTATATGGGTATATACATATATATTAAGGATAGAAAATCTTTTTTTAACACTGAGGTGTAAGCAATAAGGAAAAATATTAATGGATTGGCAATTTACATTTTTAAACTTTTGTATGTCAAGAATGTATCACAAACAAAACTAAAAGACAAATAATACCGGAAAATATAATCACAGTATATATGACAAAGAGTTGATGTGTTTAATAAAGAGATATTATAAATCAATACAGAAAAAGATGAACAAAGAGTACAATAAACAAAAAAGCAAAAATATAAGGTAAGTGTAAAGAAGGAGTTACAGGTAATCAATAATATACATGTTTAAAATATAATATGATTTTTTACCTTTCAAACTGGTAAATATTTTAAAAAGAATAATAATCCAGGAGTTACTCTAAGAGTATAAAATTGACACTTTCCTTGAGAGAAATTCTTTTTAAAAGATCATTCCCTTTCATTTGGCAACTTTTTTTTTAAATGTAGCTAAATTACATAGTCAAGGTTGTATGAAGTTGTATAGAAACATTACTGCACTATTGTTCATGGTTATGACACAGGTGGGCACAGGTAAGCAGGTTCTTGGTGATCGCGGACAAAAAATTGAACCGAACACACAGAGTTTAGAGCAGAAAGCAAGAGAAAACAGATTTATTAAGCCACACAGAACGTGGGAGCAGGCCAACTCTGAGCAGAGTGGAGCAGAGAAGAACAGAGCAGAGCAGAGCCTAACAGCCTAACAACCTAACAACAGGAGCAGCCCCAAACTCAGGGGCTGGGGGGTTATTACTCCTTCAGGGTGGGTCTCCCATGATTTCCTTGATTGGCTACTGGGAAGGGGGTCCCACAATGCTAATTTATTATAATACTATTATAATGAAGCAGGGGTCAGGTAGCATCTGCACAGGTGCAGTCCTGATTCACTAGGATTCAGTGCTTTTCTAGAAAGCAGAAACTACCAGTCTTAGAGCAGGGTCTCTGCCCTTTGTCCATGTTCTTTATCTTAGCCCTGGGGCACCTCTGGAGTTTCCTCCTTCCTGACTGTCTCCTGCCTCAGTAATATAAATTTCCACAATAGAGAACTGATTAAATAAATAATGATATATCCATATGGTGTAATATAGTATAGGTACTAAAATCACGTTGCAGAAAAAAGAACTGACTGGCATATGGTAAATTGTTCATAATATGTTTTATGTAATAAAATCAGCTTATAAAACAATAAGCCAAATGTAATAGCATTTTGGTAAATACCTACAGAGGAACTATGTCAATAAAGACATTCACCAAATTATTTATAGGCACTACATTTGGAAAGTGGAATTGTAAGTGATTTTTTTCCCTCTACATGTCTGAATTTTCCAAAATGTCCACATTGGACATGTGTAATTATGTCTTTTTGTATTACAAAATAAACATTACATATACAAAAGGGTAAGTACTCAAAGACAAAAGGAGTCACTGAGCCTCCAACTAAAGGAAATCAACTGCAAATTAGTAATCAGATAAAGGTTTTCAGGATGCTTGCACTTAAAACATGCAAAACAAGGTTCCCCTGATCCTGAAAATAAAATAACAATCCTCTCCAAGTGGGGGTGGAGCACAGCCTAGGACAAAGACATCCTGAAGCTTGGGAGCTGTGGACACTGCACTTCCTGTTAGTCAGTATCCAAAGGTCACCCCGTGCCAGCAGGGGTGGTGCCAGCAAGGCGGTCCAACTAATACCCACAAGTACTTGCAAATCACACTGTCCTCATAAATGAGGGGGTACAAGTTTGGCTTGTGACCCAGGAAACCATTTGTCTGATTCTACTAACAGCCCAAAGAATGATGAATCTGATTGTTTCTGCTCTCTCCATACTGTAAGTTAACTAGATAGGCTGGCTGACTTTTTGAAATACTGTATCTATCAAACATGGGACTTGAAAACCTTGAGTGATGGTCAGTCTGTGAATTTAACGTGAATCCTCAGGACACCAGAAATCAACTCTGCCTACTAAACTCACTGAAGGAGTTGTATTTAATTCCTTTTGAAGGCTCTATGGTTTACACTTAAAAAAAAATAACTTTTTAAAAATTATCATGGTTGCCTTATGTAGGAAACAGGTAAAAGCACTTTGTATTTCCACAGCATCTGCCACGTGAGGGCCTCTAAGTGTCTGGTGTTCCCCAACCCCATTTTCTTTAGACTGATCTTATTTAATTTCAATTTACAATAAAAAGCTTTGACATTTTGGTTGTTTTCAAAGAGGGAGCTTCTTTTTTCTTTTCTTTCATTCATTCTTGTGTGTGTGTGTGTGTGTGTGTGTGTGTGTGTGAATGCCTTTATCCATTCTTTTCTTTAAACTGAGGTATAGTTAACATATAACATTATATTAGTTTCAGATGTATGACATAATGATTCTATATTTGTATATATTATTAAATGTTCACCACAGTAAGTCTAGTTAACTAGACCTTGGTGGCCTTCTTGAAATTGGTGGTACAGAGGAAAAGCAAAATCTCCAAATCCAATTCTATTAGTGTCTTAATTATTATGAATTTCCTCTTTTATACTTTATTACAATAGTTTTCAAACTTTGATGTCTACCTGATTCTTCTGAGAAGCTTGTAAAGAAGTAGAGATGCCGACAGCCTCCCCTAGACAGACTAGGTCAGAGTCTCACAGGTGCTGAAGCCATATTGGGGTTGAGCAAGTTCTACTGGGGGTCCCCGTACGCTCAGAGGGGTGAGAAGCACTGGTCTGGGTGAAAAGGCGCGTAAAGGATGCAGCAAAAATATATATATGAAATTTCTCATTTAAAGAGAACATTTAAAAAAGAAAGGTGAATAATGACCTTAAGACCTAGTCGCGATCATTTTTTATATAGGCTATTTCTCCATAATCTGGATAGAGTAGAGAGTGGATATTAGAATCAGTCCATTTCAGTGGTTAAAGCGTTAATCAGAACGTCAACTCACTTCTCAAACCGTGACACGGAGGAAAGGAGTGTTCCTATCAGCTGATCCTAAGGAAAAAAGTAAACACTCCCAACATGCACTGAGGCACAGGGAGTGGCTCAGGTTTCTGACAGTTCCCTGCGGTAGTGAAAAAAAGTAATAATTAACAGCTCCTTAGGCTTGATGACCTTGCGCGCGGAGGAGGACTGCCTGCCGGGAGCAGAGCCCCGGCGGTGCTCAGGTAGGCCCTGCGCGCCCCTCCTCCTGCTCTTGGCACGGACCTTCGGGACAGGTGAGCGAGCGCTGACTTTCCTACAGTTTGTGACCAGCCAGGGGAGCACACTCTCCGAGCAACTTCAGCCTGAAAACTAAGGTAAAAAGGCCCCTTTGGCTCAGAGTGTGAAAAACAGGTGAAAATGGGGGTAGGGAAAGCAGAATCCCTAGGCAGCCCAGCTGAACGCATCAGAGCAACCTGAGACCCGGACATTACTTTTCCTCTTGATTTTTTCAGAATGCTCTTTCGTGACCGAGGTATGGATGTGAGGAGCAGGAAAAGGAGGGAGGGAGTGGGGAAGGTATGGAGGTTAGTGTGGCTGCTGAGCCCCTCCTCCCTTTTCACCAGGGAAATAGTTCAGTGAGCACTTGACCTGGAATTGCACTTACTCTCCAGAGACACTAGACTCCTTGCTCTGAGTGTCCTTAGGGTTACAATATTGCATTGAATCAGCAGGCATGAAAGATCTTTTTAATTGAGGGCTCAGCTTAACATTTTTTTCCCCCACAAAGCTACAGAGATTTCTCCCCCCCCAAAAAAAAGAAAGAAAAAGAAAAAGAAAAGGATTTCTGATATAAGACCACACAAAACAATGAAAGAATAATCCTAACCAATTAAATGGGAGTCTGTGAGTTAAGGAAAATATTCAGAGGCAGGAGAGACATAGGTTCAAATCCTGGCTCTGCCACTTAGCATATTGTCCCTTAGCAAGTTACTTAACTTATCCAAGCCTCAGTTTATTACCTATAAAAATGAGCATCCTAACAGGATCTGCCAATAAGGCTTAGATGGGTACAAAATACTTAGCAAGTGTTCTATAAACGGTACCTCCTATTAGCATTAAGAAATAAGCTGCCCTGCCAGAGGAGCCAGATCAGGAAGCATGAGCTGAGCTGGGGAGACTCTAGACAGTGCAGAGGTACTGGAGTTGAACCAGTTTCCAGAGAGCAGATCGAAGACATGTGAGCAGATGGTATGTGGGAAAAGTATTACCTTTCTTAGTGGCAAGGAAATCATCTGACTTCTTGCCATTTTTTAAATAGAGTAGATAGTGGCAAATTCAAACTTACTTGCTACTCAATCACTTTTTCTTTGGAAAGATCACATTTCTAATCATCTGTTATATAAGACACAATTTTAATAAGAGAGTTACACACGATCTCATATTGTGGAACCCATGATATTTGAGTTTTATAAGAGAGATTGCCCCTTGAGTAACTGGAGAAAATTAGACCACAGACTCCATGTCCTTACATTGTGGCACATTATTTTATTGTTTGTATTGAAGTGACGTAGACTCCATTTGTGTTGGTGATCAAGAAATATAAAGAAAAATACCTCTTTCTTGTTGCTCTTTGCCTCTTAAATTATAGGTAAGTGACCTTATTATGAAATTTTGTTAATGCTGCTAATTTTGTTAATGTTGATAACTTCGAGGAAGGGGCAAATGTGGTAGTTTTGTGACTAACAGAGTACTTTCCTTGATGAAATTTTATCTTCTTATTTTATCAGTATAAAATATTTAAGTAGTTTGCAGTTAATCCTAATTTAATATCCTCATTGCTTTTTTGAACACTGATATTACCTGGCTTTCTTAAATTTATTTTTTATTTAAGAATAGTTGACATACAGTCTTATATTGGTTATATCAGTTATAACCAATCAAGTGTACAATGCAGTGATTGATCATTTAATACCTTAGCCATGTTATTACCCCACTAATTCTAAAATGATCTGTCGCCATGTAACCTTATCACAATATTATTGACTATACTCCCCTCCTCTTTTCATCCATCAACCCCCCCCCATAACTATCCCTTTGGTCTCTACTTTTATGAGTCTGTTTTTGTTTTGTTTCATTTTAGATTCCACATATAAGTGAAACTATACAGTGTTTATCTTTCTGTGCCTGACTTATTTCCCTTAGCATAATACCCTTTAAATCCATTCATGTGTCATAAATGGCAAGATTTCATTCTTTTTTAGTGCTGGGTAATAGTCCATTGTACATACAGGGGTGGGCAAAAGCAGGCTTACAATTGTTCTTATGAAAAAAGGTATGCAGATTATGATTATTAAAATAGCAAATAAACTCTGTTTCACACATTCACTACTCTAAACCTACTCTTGCCCACTCTTGTATATACTATATCTTAACTATTCATCTATCCATGGACACGATCTTTTTTCTCAAATTGAAGAATTAAAATTCTCCAATGTACTTTTCATTTACTTGAAAATTGTGGATAGAATTCTAAAGGCAACCAAACTGAACTTTACTACACTATTGTGTTCTAGGGTCTGATTGCATCTAGTGTGGTTTATCTAAAATCTTATAAAAGAACCACATAACTTGGGGTAAATCTTCCTAAAGTCTGTTTTAGTATACATGTAGTATTTCTAATACATATAACATTTTATGGTAAACTATTAAATGTTTTGGGAGAGGGAGAGAAAAAGAGAGAAATAACCAACTGTGATTAAGAAAAAAATTGATTTGAAATATATTCAAAATAGTACAACATGTATATGACATCTTTTTAAGATGTAAGTTAAAGATTTACACCTGATATTTATTAACTCCCTAAAATAAGAAGCATACTCTACTTTTAATTGAAATCAAAATCTAAGGTTAACATTCAATTTGCTTGTATAGTAAAGGACATTCATTTCTTACAATGCAGACAGAAAATTTAGGATTGTTAGAGCTGCATGGGCTTCATATAAAACTTTACATTTTTAAAAAATACTCAAGTATGGGTCAATTGAAAATAGAACCCCTGAGAAAGAACATCTTCTGAATATTCTCTCTTTGCAGTAAAGTCTAGGGTTTAGAGAGGGTTAGGCTTGGTTACAAAAATTAATTTTCTGTCTTTCAAAGCTTTCAAATATAGTGATTACATCACTTCGTAACATTATCTCAAGTACCAAACTAATACTACTGCTTTCAGTAGTTGAACATGGAAGTGTCTTCTTTTTCAGTGATGAGGGTGTCATTTCAGTAGTTGAAATGGCCAAAGGACAACTTCTTCTTCATCATCATCCCAGAGCCTAGTAACTGGAGCTCAAGAGCAGAGTCCCAATTCTTTTGCAGACAGCATGTGAACAGGAGAGATGAGTCAGGACGCCTGTCAAGTCAACCTTAGAATCTCCACTTGGAAAGTCAGATAAAGCAAAAAATCCTTGCGTTGTACCACAGCTGCGGTTCCAGAAGATGCGTTGACAGTCTGAGCAGCTCCCTTCCAGACTGTGTGCTGGCAAGATGCTTTGAGGCATAAAGCTAGTTTGCTGCTTCTTCTACTCTTGCTCCCTTCACTTCCCTGAGGGCACTCCGGGAAGAACAAAGCACATGGCCTTAGCGCTGTGTAAATTGCAATAGAATATTAATGGTTTGGCATTTCAAATCAGATTCCACCTGAACTGAGAGTAATGGCACACTCACATAGAAGTTTGGGTGTTTGAGCCACATCCTGTTTAGTCCTGTCATAAATTCAGGCACTATGATACATTTTTGTTTATTTTTGTCTCAAAACAAACATTTCCTAGCTGCAATCAATATCATTTAATAAAATGATAGTTTATGTACTCCAGCTCTTAAACTTTTACCATCTTTACAAATAAGACACATTCTTTAGAAAAAAATATGGAGCCAAATATTTCCCAGAAACCACACGTTTCTTGACTCTTTTGGATAATGGATAGAATTATACAGTCTTTTTTTCTGATTTCCTTGAAATGAGACAATTGTATGTAAATATTTTCTTCTCAACTTCAAAATACCAGGTCAGAGCTTAGAGAAAACTTTATTTTCTTTAGAGCTTTATTTGGGATCAGAATACATATTTGTAACTTTCCATTGCTTCTTCAAGCCAAAACAATAATTAAAAAAAGAACTTCATGTGTACAGCCTTGAATATAATCTCACTTCATAATTGAAATATATACTTGCTGTTCTGATGTGTTAGTTTCTAGGGTTTTTTAGTAACTTTTATGGTGTTTGTTATATATGTTCCTTGCATACAATTTTAAAAGTACTTATGAAATAAAAAATAATTATCACCTAATTTTATATCTCTCAATTTTGCTGTTAATATTTTAATATAACTCCCCATATATTGAATATATTCATTATTTTACATATGTTTTATCTATATACTTGTATTATATACTTGGATATCTATATTCACTCTAGGTAATACAAAACTGAAATAAGCAATAATCTTATTCTAAATGAACACATAGTCAAATTAAGTAAAATAAAATATACTAGAAAGAGGAAGCAGCAAGTAATTAGAAAGCTGCAGATATTTTCCTGTGAAAATTGAGTGGCAGCAGAAAGTCACTTTGGCTGGGGAACCTAGGGAATTTAGCATCTCTGTTTTTTGGGGGGTTTTTTTTTGTTCATTGTAAAATTATGACCATCATAATACCGCATGCCCTCACTGGCCTCAGGAATCAAGCATTGCAGACAGACATATAGGCTGCACTTCCTGTGGCTGGCACGGGAGTGGAGCCAGAGAAGAAATTCATGAAATATTTGTTGACCATACAATGGAGTGAACTAAATTATCCACTTTTGAAACAAGTAACCATTTTATTAATCCATGTTTGGGCACAGGAAGGTATTTTTAAATGACAAGCCCCTTTGAGTTCATTGCGGCTTGGACTCCCCTTCGATCCTCTGGCTTCCTTCTGGCGACTGGCCCGTGAGGCCAAACCCACAGGCAGGCAGGACACAGAGCAGGCGGAGGCAACCACTGATGCTGCCCGCATGCTCAATGCTCCCGTTCCACCTGCGCAGGCTCCTGGTCCGCCTGCCTGCTCAGACCCATTCTACCTGCCTTGCCTCTTTCCTTCCCTGTGGAGCCACCTTGGCTTGTGTGAACCTACGCCGACCTAGTACTTTCGGAACTGTTTATTTCTCCAAAACTTCATTGCTAACATACCTAATTACAATCTCTTGAGTTCCATTCTCTCTGGACAAAATGAAAAAAATACCACATTTATTAAATAATCATATTTCATACACAATCTAATCAATAAGCTCTGGTCTCTGGACTGAAGAGCCTGCCCAGTAAAGGACATAGATTTGTAATAAC